TGCTCTGTAAAGCTCCTCCTCAGACGAGGCGTTTTTTTTTTTCACAGCTGAATGGTTGCCATGGAAATTAAAGGATTTCTCAGGCAAAAAGAATCCAGACAACACTCCATGCACGTTTCTGATGAGGGAATAACATTATAACATGATGTAAAGCTCAAAAAACTAAATTTCACCCAGTAGTTCCCCCTTCAATTCCACTGCAATTCAAGATGTTCACACATTCACCTCTTGTTTCAGGTCCAACCATCAGATTTAAGTTTAGACTTTGACTAGGACAAATGAGACCTTAATTTTTTTTTGTCGTTTTTACTTTCTGAGCTGCAGCTGCTGGTGTGTTTCATGGATTCCAGCTGCAAACTGATGGATCAACTTTCCTCTTCATGCCTCCATCAACTACGGCAAGAAGTCGTCCAAGTCCTCAAACAGAGGTATCGAGCTACAACTCTAAAATAATGTTGTTAATCATATATTGAGTTTCTATTATGACTCAATTGGTAGTTATTTCCTGATTTTTTTCCTTTTTTCGACATTCCGTGTTTTAATTAATCCAAGGTAGACATGGGAAAGAGAGACCCAATCATTAAATAAATGAAGGATAACGGCTCTTTTTCCTAGACGCTGTGATGGGTTTTTGCCAGGTGTGTAATGGAAAAACTTGCCTTCAAAAAGGTTCCACTTTTGTCTCATCAGTGCAAAAATACTTTAACAAAAGCCTTCGTTTTTTTTTCGTTTTGTCTCGGCAAAATAGGAGAAGGACATTTAAGGGGTTTAATTTGCTCTGTGGTATTTTTGCATCTTGGAAACCTTCCGAGTATTTTCCGTTAGTTCAGAAAACCTGAACCAAATGAACGGTTCGCTATGAGGAACAAATAGCTGGAAGTTCGCTGTGCCGTGGAGAGAAGCTGGCTCGGCTGTGAACCCACAACAACACGTTCGTCCGTCCGTCACTGCACACCGTCCTGACTTAACTTTGAAACATGGTAGTGGCAGCATCGTGATATGGGAACAGCCTTTCTTCAGCAGAGAAGCTGGACAGGGAATCCCATGAAGGTAAACAGCGAAATAGATTCTTTTTAGTCAAAAAAAAAAAAAAAACACAAAAAAACTATGTCTTTAATTTTGCTTACATGTCCTAAAAACAAGGACAGGCCCTGACCATAGGAAAAAAAGTCCCAGTGTAGTGAAGTTGGAAATGCAAATAAAACAACTGTTGACGTATTATTTAAGTTACCAACAAATAGCCATGAGGCTCACTTATGAACATTTTATTGAAAATAAGATTTAAAAATTCAAAGACTGTGCGTATAAAAAGTACTGGCAATAGTGCATGAAGCTTTGAACTAAAGTCTTCCTCCTACAATTCAGAAACGATTTGAGAGAGTAAATATAATTTACAAGATTTGTTAATATCTGAACGAGCGAAAGAGAAAACTAAGTTATTGGCGTCAAACAGTGGAATGAACTGAATGATGATTTCAAGTTATTTTTATTTTTGATGAGCTTTAAAAGAACTTTAAAATGATAAAAACTACTGCTGTGTAGGTATTGTGTAGCCATTAGTGTATGCAATGTATGTGTAATTATATATATATATATATATATATATATATATATATATATATATATATATATATTATATAATATATATATATATAAATACATGCATATTTACATGTAATCCGTGAATATACTCATGTCCATGAACAGTAGATATCTTTCATTACTGCTGGCTGCTGAGTCCAGAACAGCTTCAGTCGTTTTTTGGTCAATTATTGGCCTGTAAAGTCGTATTTTGTTCTGTTTTTGTTTTGAAAGTGACTGTAGATCTGAGATTAAAGAACAAGTCAAATGCATTTGGATCCAGGTTCGGTCAGCCCAGCTGGACTCGGTTCTTGTTCGGTGTGTCGTCCCCTTTCCTGTCTCTGACTCAGCCCCCAGAACAGACAGAACTGGGTGTTGTTGGGACGGCAGAAGTGGGAATATGGTTACATTCTGACTGGCGTGGCGCTTCAGGCCCAGCCACGGATCCAACACGTAGTGACGACGGCTTAGCACCGTTTAATGTTAAATCGTTTTTCTAATTTGAACTTGCTTGCAGAAGCCTGTGATGTGTTTTGGCTGTGCGATAAAATAAAATAAGTGTTCAAAAATTCCTGTAAAAGTCTAAAGTTTCCACTGAAACTCCCCAAAATGTTCCCAGAGGAAGAATTTCATGACAATTCCCACACACGATTTCCACGTTTGTAGAAGAGCGACTCTTAGAGATAACAATCTTATTTCCCATTTTGAGAGTTTAGTCTGAATCCGATAAATTGACTAAAAACTCTCAGCCTTCACTACTGCAAAGCCTTTTCTTCCTCTTGTCTTCAATGCATTATTTTGTCTTGATTCATCGTTTAAAAAGGTCAATAGAAAATTGTGTTAGGTATGAAATGAAATTTAAATAAAAGATGAAGAGCTCTGAATACTTTTGCGAGGCTCTGTAAATCCCTTCAGGCCGTCTGGTTGACCTCGGCCAGTCAGAAATGATTCGCTCTGAGAAATGCCTTTCAGTGTATTGAAATACCTTAAAAAAAAAACCAGAAAAGAAATCCGTTCAAGCATGAAGAATTTACTCTGACCGCAGAGTGAATCTTCTGTGGGAGTCAGAGTTGAGAAAGAGAGCAGAGTAGTTATTAGCAGCGGGGAAAATCTATCTAACTATCCGTGGATTCCTCCAGTGCCACAGAGCGCAGGCCCGACGGCCCAACTTGCTTCCTCGTCTGATCCCTCCCGAACGCGAGGGCCTTCATTTCTGACGAGCTTCACTTCGTCGGAGCTCATCCATCCACTCACGTCTCAGCAGGTTTGCGTCACCGCTCGCGTTGGCTATGCAAACCCCCCAAAAAATCGCCGGCAGAAATCTAAAAGAGACAAATCCCCGTCACTGCGGGCACTTTCCCTCGAATAAAGATCATGGCGAAGTGATGACATGTGTGTGTGAGTCTGCTGGTGTATGGATGAGGCTGTCAGCGCCAGGTTAAAATAAGGATGTGTGTTTGTAAGGGCGGTGTGAGAATTATGGGTTAAACAGCGAGCGCTGCCGTCCGTGGGGGATAAAGCCAGCGGATCGCTCGCAGCGTCTCCAGTCCCACAGTCCCTGCAGTGTGTGTGTGTGTGTGTGTGTGTGTGTGTGCTCAGTAGATTGGACTGCAGAGTGAATGGGCTCATTAGCGTTAGCAGAGTAACACATGGCCCGGGGCACACACAGACACAGAGCACACTCACTTTCTCCCTACAACTCCCCCCCCCCACACACACACACTCCCTCTTTCCCCCAATACACACACAGACACACTCCAGACTGGCATACTAATGCATTCAGACTGCAAACACAGATCGCCTCATTTATTAAAAAAAAAACAGAAAAAAAAAAGAAATGCGAAAAATCTGGATGGTTTAATCAGTCAGGGTTTAGAAAATTTCTAAGGGAAAAAAGAACAATAAAAAACCCAACCAAGTTATCCGTCAAGTTTATCAGCGACATCCCGGGCGACGTTTTCGCCCAGATATTAACGCCCAATCGTGAGCTGCCCACACAGAGCCGAATGCTCAGCATGAAGGCCTCCACCGACAACAGAGAAGTTGTTAACGATGACACCGTGACTTCTGCTGCCGCCGGCTAGCTGCACTCGCTTCTGGTTCCGACTCGTAACACACACAACTCATTGACTCCGGCACGGCGGCCCCTGAAGGTCCAACACAAATAGACCGAGTCAGATCGTCGTCAACTTTCTTCCACCAATGAAGTTTTATCCTGCACAGTTAAAACTCAGAACAAAAGTATCTACTTATCTGGTTATCTAACCAGCTAGCTATCTATAAGGCTATCGGTCTGTCTATCGAGCTAACTACCAGGCTAGCTACCAGCATGTCTATCCATCCACCCATCCATTTGTAAAATAGTCACAATTACTATTATAGGAAATAAGATTCTGGTTCAGCTGCACTATTCTTTTGAATTCCAATTAAAAATGTTTTAACAGCTAAACTGGGAGCAGGTGCCAATCAAGTCAATAGAAACCTGTCATTGAGGTTTCTAGCACAGACAGCCAGAGTGGGTTTGGGCTTACTGGGTCTATTTGGCACTTCTGTAAAAAACCCCAAAAATAAACAAACAAAAAAACCCACAAGTAAACCCATGATCTTTTTGATTTGTTAAAATCTCTCCTTGGGAATCTGTTTGCAATTCTTGGAAATTAGTTTGGAGAGTCAAGGGAAACATTCTCAAGGGACATCAAGCTGCTTAGCGACATCCATAGCATGTCGGCTCCCTCTCTCTCAAACACTGACTTCTGACACCTGCTTCCTTCCCAAAGCAAAACGTTGCGTAACCTCAGAGAAAGCATCTACATGTTCCACCATCGAGGCAAACTTTAAGTCCCGGTCAATTTTTCTTTAATAGGCGATTTAGAGCCGTCCTTGTAAATCACAAAGCTGTGTTTCGTTTTCTCTTTTAATACAATAATTGTTGGATTTTAATCCCATAAATATGGCATCTTTTCTCATCAGTATTAAGACGACAGCAGCTCAGATTTAGATTTCACTAGTGACTGTAAAAGTGAGTGAGTGCAGGCTGCTGACTGGGGTCATCGTGGGGTCACCTGTCACCTCGGATGCTTCAGTCGATTACAACTCTGGCGCTCTGACCTTGGCTGCGATGACCTTGGAATATTCCGAATGCTGAAAAACGAACTACTCTCACCCCCGCTCCATCTTTGGAATTTAACTCAACGTCTGCGCGGCGCATTCAGGCCGGTCGCGCAGACGTTGAGTGTAATGTCCCCTGCCTCAACGACGTTAAAGAAACGTTCCAGGGATTCATCCAGAACCGAGCATTTATTCATAGCTTCTTGTCTCGGCTCGTCCTCATTCAGACCGAATGTGGTTTTCAAGCAACGCAACATGACACATCCAAAGGGGCAACAGAAAAACAAACAGAGCGGGACTGCTGGTCTTACCTCAGCGCTGCGCTTCTGGCTTTGGTCTTGTCAGACACCTGTAAGGACAAAGACGCACAGAGACATTTAGACACTCGGTCTCAGCAGCTGGCTTTGTTTGTGTGTCTGACTGATGCACTTAACCCGCCATCGTTACAACTGGACACAAGAACTGGAGCGTTCTCAACATGCTAACAACATGCTATTTCTCGCTAACGTTATTTTAGCGCTAAAAACCATTTAGCGCACTTTGCTTCCTCTAAATTGACATTTCCAGATGAATTCTGAGGCACTAATTCACTTTTTCACTGTTTTGTAAACTTACAGTTGAATGAAGCTCGACATCTTTGTTCATGTTTTGTTCATCGACTGCTGAGATTTATTTCACATAGTCAGCCTATTATATTCATGCTCTTATTCTGAAGGGAGGGAAGACAGTTCCATTTCCTCTCCTCACCTTTTATCTCCTTCTCCAAAGAAACAAAACATACAGTAACCTGGTGTCTGGGGGTTGTAGGATTTCAAGGACAGATACAACTTGAATTGAAGTTAGCGCGTTAACACTAAGTACCGCGTTAGTGTAGCGCGTTAGCATTAGGGGAACAAATTTTTTTGAAATGATTAAAAACCATGTGACTTTTAATCAATTTGTATTCTGATTTGTTTTGCTCACATAAAATTTCTGAAATAAACTGAAGTTTGTGCTGAACACGAGAAAAGGTAAAAAAGCTAAATTATTGCTTAATTGTGAGGCATATAAAAGAAAACAATACATTATATGCCCCTTGAGAGGTAAAAACAAAGCGAAATATAATAAGATACTGAGCACAGAGTAATACATTATCTGAGTTATCCAATTCTTGTTCTGTATAATAATTCTGTATTTAGACACACATAAGGATGCGCTGAGCTCAAAAAGGAGTGAAGAAGAGAAACTCCTTTACTCTCACTGCCTCTTTATGTATGTAAATTATGTTGTTGCCACTGCAATTTCAGATTTAGTCATTTTTATTATTTGCACAACTTTTTTTAAGATGTATTTTCTTGTCAATACCACTGATCACGTCATCAACAAATCAATATTTGAATTACATATATTTCATGATTTTTTTTATTTTATAACGTGACATGTTTGCACGCTTTTCACTTATGAGTAAAATTATATTTAGTTGTTCCATGAAGTTATTGGTGCTTACGGTAATTAAAAATATACATTTGCGCGACGCTACTTGCTAGACTAATAGAAAACTCAGGGAATATTAGTGTCTAAAGACGGACATTTTGACACAAAATATGAAAGACAGAAGATTTTGACATGACTTGTGGTGCAGTGACTCCAGCCTGTGTTTATTTGGTCCTGTGGAAATACATAAATGAAACACACAGAAAAACAAAACCGGGATGATTCAGCACAGTCTGCAGATATTAAGCAAATTCTCTCTCCATTCCTCCCTTTCTAACTTTTGTCCCGTTCAGAAAACTGTTTGGCAGGAAAGCTCCTCCTCCTCTTCCTCACCGTTCTGCAGTTCTGTACGTCAATTACAAAAAAACAACAACAAACAAACAAAGCAGAACCGAGCAAACAAACAAACGAAAGAAAACCCAATTTCTCCAAATGTCAAGCCAGTGTTTTCTCTTCCAGGACTGTTGCTCAGCAATTAAAATGAATTACTGAACGGCAAAAGAAAGAAAAAAGGGACATTTTCTCCTTTCCGGCTTGTTATTTCCTGCCCTCTCTAGGAATAAGGTGATTAACTGACCCAGTGGAGTTTCTGGGAGATCGATGCAGAGCTGCAGGCTACAACAACAAACCTCCTGAGATCTTTGCCTTTTGGAGACTTGAGGGAAGCTCGCGGAGAAGATCTTTGTGTGAATATATTAACCCGGCTGGTGGCTTGGCTCGGATTTAAATAAAGCACAACCCGGCCGGCGTTCAGACGTGCCGTCTCCGCCGGCTGGAAGTGTTGCTCCCGACAAAAAGGAAGGGGAGAAAAAAAATGCAGCAAAAGCAAAGAGAGAGCTTAAAGAGCAGCGGGACGTATACGATTCCCTATTTTTATGTGGGTGCCAGACGTCCCGGCGTTTCACAGCAGGCCTGGCGGTGAAGACTTAACAAGACGCCCACAACGTCTTAAACAGAAACCAGACAATAAATTCGGTGCTTGTCCTCACGGTTTGTTTCAGCACGAGAGACTCCACAAAGTGGCGCCAACACCTGAACGCCAAGTGTGAAATCTGTTCTCCTGATGCAACTCTTGCTCCTTGGCTGAAAGTACGACAGCGACCGAATCTTCGCTTTAGGAAATTGCCATATTTAGGGAAATTTTCAGTGGCAGCAATCCAGATTTGATGTGATTCGTTGCACTGACCGTCGCCGGTGGTTTGTTGCTTGCAGTTTTGACGCCAAACGTCACTGACCGGGTTACGGCTTGGACCCTTGGCGTCAGGTACCATGACGGCAGCAGCAGATCTTTAAGGCGGAGGTCTCAAACTCCAGTCCTCACGGTCAGGAGTCTTGTAACTTTCAGATGTCTCTCTGCTTCAGCACACCTGGCTCCAACGTTAGCTCATTAGCAGAGCTCTGTAGAGTGGCAGGTTAGCCATTTAATTCATCATTTAAAAGATGACGATGGATAAACAGTTTTCCTGCAATGGCATATTGCTTCTCCACCATAGGCACATTTAGCAGCATGAGTGTTGTGTTGATTGACAGCAATAAGACCCTCCCCCTGGCTCTGAATGGTTGCTTCTGGTCCAAAGTGATACGTTTCTTCAGAAGGAGGTGCAGGAGACTGATCTTTTCCTAGCTGATCTGTCACGACGTGGTGACGGTTTTAACAAATAGACCAATAAAAAAGTCATGTTCTTTCTTTTGTGGCAGGGTTGAGCTAGGAAAAAAGATCACAAAGCCACAGACAATCCATCCAGCCATCCATTTTCTGTTGACCCTTGTCCCTATTGGGGTCGGGACGTGCTGGTGCATCTCCAGCTATCGTTCCGGGCGAGCGGCGGGGGTCATCCTGGACAGACCGCCAGCCTGTCGCAACCCAGATATGGATTATCTCTAAGCACTGTGAGGATAACAGCAGCTAGCTAACGAAGTTATAAAGATTATTTCACATCTCATCCATCCATCAGTTGCCCAAACGTTTGAAAATGTTCCCATGTGGTCTTTGTATGGTCCATACTTCCAAAGATGGGTCCCGTGTGCATTCAGAGCACGCAGTTGACGGCGGAACCAAAAGGGGCGTGGCTTACAAGTCCCGGTATTCCTCAGAGCAACACGTATGACGTCATCCATTCGTCATCCCGATGCAGGAACTTCAGATCCGCAAAAAAAAAATAAAAAAAAAACTTCAGATTCGCTCAGGGCTTCAAATACAATCTGTGGTGAGCCTCAACAGGATCACATTCTGCTGAAAGAGGAGTTTCTCCGATCAGACGGTCTCTGGAAGCCCCCGCGCTCGCTTCCTGTCCTCGCTTCCTGTCCTGTCACTCATTCCGCACCGGAACCAAAACTGAGTAGATTCGACTGAATTGGACCGTCCTCTGCAAAGTGCCTGCCGGTGACTCTTACTGTAGTATTATATAAATAGCCTGAGATGAGCCGACCAGATGGAGTTCTACCACCATTCCTTCACCTGACACTTTACCGAAACAAACTCTCCTCCGACTAGCTCTCCTGCTGAATGTTACATGTCAGGCAACCAGCACACACACTGCACAAGAAAAAAGAAATAGGAGAGCACCTCAGAATACCTCCTTGTATTTTTTTTTTTTCATCTAATTTTTTTACTTGACAAACTCAAATTTGAGGGAGTCGGACGTGTTCGCATGAAGACGGAACCTTTTGAGCCCGACTTAGCTCGGACCGCGGGGATCGGCCGGGGACAAAGGACAGCCCCGCGCCGGGAAATTGGCCTGTTGTTTCCTGTCAGTTTCTGTAGTCATTAGGCGCCGCTTTCCGCTTCCCGTCGCCGCACCTTCTCCCTCTCTCCTCTATCTCTCCTTCCTGCGCGCCGTCTTCCAATTCCCTTCTCTCCTCCGTCTCTTTTGCTCTTTGCCAAAAACATATTCATCATCCTCCTCTGCTGCCCTCACCGCGCTCTGCCACAGCATACTAATGATAGTGTGTGTGTGTGTGTGTGTTTGCTGCCATAAATTCTTGGGAGTGGAGCCTCACACGGCTGCATGCGTGTCTCTGTGGGTGCATGTGTGTAATACACGGCTGTCCATGTGTTTGATTACCAATGTCTTTTTTTTAATGTTTTTACTTGGGGCTATAAAGGCTTGATAATACACCATGCACTCATTTGCTATAAGCCTGTTAGCGGCGTCCGCAGATAAATGCCGCTGGATTCATCTCGCGCTTCTCGTCTTTGCTGCCGTTCAGCTGCTTTTCTGTCGTCTGTCTTTATCTCGAGATCTCCGACGCTGCCATCTTTTCTTTTCCGCTCTGTTCCCTGAGCCAGTCTTACTCAGAGATTAGTGGCGAAAAGAAAACAAACAAACAAACAAAAAAAGAAAAGTAAAACTACTTTACTTCTTCTGGTTGAGAAATAAAAAGAAAAAGCTAAACTCTCTGAAAAAACATATATTGAAGTAAAGAACCAAAAAGATCTACCTATTGTCGAGAAAAGATAAATAATTTTGTTGATCTTGGTCGATCTAAAACAGGAAGGAGCTAAACAACTATCATTTTGGTAATACAAAGTGGTTTTTATTACATTTCTTTCCAAAGAAATGATCAATAATGCTCTAAGTGATTTAAATAGATGCTTTAGCCTAACTGGTAATGGAGGTAAATAGAATAGACTCACAGCATTTGTCTGTAATGGTGAAATTCAGTGTGCCAGTTCGGAGCACTTTGTCCGTGGCATTGATCTCAACCAAGTACCAGACATGGACTTTGTCAGCATCTCAAACCGCCTGTTCTGAAGTGACCCAGTTCGGCGTCAGGGACAAAAAGTGCCTGACTGGAACGCATCGACGTGAAGTTTACATTATTAACACTGACATTTAATATTACTTGAATAAAGTACATGTTTAACTGGCAAAGAACTCACAGTGCCTCTAAAGACAGCGAAAATAAATGAATATATGCATGGAGACGATAAATTAATAACCACTTCCTTTTTCATCCCGTCTCCTCGCCACGCCAGGAATAATTCAGCGTCAGGGCGCGCTTCTGAATGCACACTAAATATCTGTGATTAAAAGATCTCATTTCAGCGTAATTACAACAACTAAAACCACTATAAATGACCTGCCATCGTTTATAATTATTATGTCTTACCCCGGTCGTAATTATGTAATCAAACGGGGAGTTAAAAGGGGATGAGAGGAATCCGTATCTTTTCATTAACGGAGAATATCTGGCGGACGCTTTGATGAGCGCTGATATCCGTCTGCGCGGCGGGGGAGAAACCGAAGCAGGACCCCACTGACTGCTTTGAACTCATCTCTGGCATCATTAGCGCGTGATGACAGTGATTAGCAAAGAGAAGGCCACACTGCCAATTTTCATACGGGGGACAAAACCCAAACAATGAAAACAGGACAACAGCTCCGTCCTTGTTCAACGTGACCCGCAGCGGTAAAATCTGGATTCCTTATTCAGCGGACACAGGCCAAACACGATGACACCGCAGCTTCTACGGGGGGAAAAAATGGGATAAAACACGACAAAGTGTTAAGCGGACAGGACACACTCTTCCAGATTCAAACACATCATAAAGTTTGAGCCTTTTTCCAAAACCCAGAACTTCTACTAAAATTACGGTACTGAAGTTACGCCACAAATAAAGATGGCAGATGGAGTGTGAAAAAGTGACTTTTAGCTACTTCCGTTCACTGCTGCTATGTTTTACACAAGGACAAGCTGCTGATTGTTTGTGAGCGGGTCAGAAGTGGAGCAGAAATGATGCCGGCCTCCGTAGCAGTTTTAGTCACAATCAGGCCCGTCGCCATAAGCAACGAATCAATTGATCACAAAATGGACTAAAATTTTCATTTGCATGATTTGAAACGTACAGTTAATCACCTGATCAAAAAGTATGGAAAGTGGTGACTCAGTTATCCTCAAATGACTTCATGCATGTCGGACAATAATGAGCGCTTTCTATGTTTCCTTCCTGGAGCTGGTGTGTAAACAGACTTGCATTCTGGTGATCCTGTTGCTAAACAACCACAAAAAGGAGCAAAAAAAAAAAAAAAAAAAAAAGAAAAGAGAAAAAAACTCCTGGGAGAGTTTGTGCCTGCCGCCATGACGGCCGTCCTCCAGATTTCCCATTTATTTAGGAACCCAGACTTTTCTGTGACACTCCTAATTAGTCGCACTTTTATCGATGATCCTTGAAATGCTTCTGTAATTCGATTTGGAGAGCACAGGCGCAATAAACAAACATGACATTTGAAGATTGCCGTGTTCGGAGATCTCAGCAGCAGCAGCAGCAGCTAGTTTGATCTCATTAAAAAAAATGAAAAGAAGAAAAGGTCTCTGATGGATTCCTGGCTTTGCTGGGAGCCGAGGAAAAGGATGTGAGCGTCTGCCGACCTCGCGGCGCTACAGTAATGTTTCCGACTCCGGATCAGAGAGGTTACGTGGTGAGATTGGCATCAGGGCCGCTTCCTCCAGCTCTACATGTTAACTTTAGTTAGCAGCAGAGCAGCCGTTTGACCCTGGACTCCTAACAGCGTCTTCAAGCTGTGAATGGGGCTGATTTGAAATATTCTAATTCCGATTCATCAGAAAAAAGTAAGTAAATAATTAGGAAAGTGTATTTATTGCCATCTTTAAACAATATTTACCTGACGTCTCGTTGAATACGGTGAAAGAATTAATAAGCATCAAAACATTTGAAAGTACGATTAAACACAGCTAACACGTGTAGTGATACAAATCACTTCCTCGTGTGAGGAAGTGATTTGTCCTGTAGAAGAATATTACAAATGGGAATGTTTTTCAAAAGCACCGTTTGCGTTTGTGGGGCTGTTATCACTGTGACACACAGTCACAGTCATACAAAGAAGTAATAAATAATATTTATCCTAAATGTTGTTATCACAATACTAACGTGAATAATAGCGACAAAACTTGAAGATGAACTACAGAGCGACCTCACCTGCTGTTCAGCTTCATCTTCATCACTGCTGATCTTCAGGTCATCCTCCAGCATCCTGCACACACACACCCACACACACGCGCACACACACACACCCACACACACACACACACACACAGGGGCAGATGGGTTACTGCAGCCATGGCCGTCTGCCTCACCTGTTGTTCCCTTTGAAGACTGTTTCCAGTAAACGGATGGATTACATTGCTGAAACGGTGCCGGTGACTCATGTTGGGGCAGAAGGATGAAGGAAAATCCTACCAGATGTTAAGGTTTCAGTGAACAGCGACACAAAGCGAGGATTGTTTTTCACCTGGACGCCCCACTTACTTCTACTTTGGGCTGAGACTGTAACACGGTCATTTCAACTAAGTACATAGATTTTTACGCGTTGAACATTTTAACGCAACTAATCTGGCTATCTTTTATTTTACGTAAAATCCAGAGCCGGAACCTTTGTGTTTGCGTGTTTTTGGTACGCCCGTAAATCTGATGCGCGGACGACGTCCGCAGACAACAGCGATGGACGACAAAAGCCGCTTTTGCTTCATTTTTACTTCAAAAACGTTATCTGATCGCACGCTGGAAAAAGCTCCTGTTATGTTGGAAGTTGTGCTGAAAGGAGTTAGCTTCCACCTGAAGCTATTCAGCTCTAAAAAAGCATCCCGATGCTAACCATGTAGCATTGAGATGTCCCCGATGCTAAGCTGGCCCAGGTGGCCGACGTTGCTAACGTCACTAAAGCAGCTAACGCTCTGAAGAAACCCGTTCACTGCTGACAAGGTTCCAGAATCACTATGAGCGATGCAGATGGCGAAGTCTTAATTATTGTTTTGTTCCTTTGATATTTCTTTTTGTTTAAGTTGTGGATTAAGTAATTTAATGTAAACATGACATCAAATGTATCACTTGTTTTGTGTCACGAAAATTCAATAAATACAATGTTTACAAAAAGGAAACCATCGTGGCCAAAGTAGTTTTTGATTTACCCAAACAAAAGACGTAAAGCTATATAAACATGTCTGTTCAATCAATAACTTAGCGGCAAAAAAAGGCTTTTAAATGAGAAAACGTCGCTTCTTTTGTCGTCAAGGTTTTTGATTAAAATGCGATCAATCGGTGACCCTGAAAAGTCCCATCACCACTCGTGTTATTAATTTTGCGTGTGCTTTTAATCTCTCAGGAAAAAATTAACACGACCTCACTATTAGCATCGTCTGCTCGTTAGCGCACAGGTTCAGGTGTGTATGTGGACCAGCGAGTTCCTGCAGTGTTTCACACACACACACAGCCCCCTGTCTCTCCCCCCACTCAACACCCACACACTGCTTCCTTTTTTTCGGGGAGCCGGCGCTGCTATTGTTATGACAGGAGGATCTCCTGAAGGGATTCCTACTGCCTGACGAGCCGCTCTTGTCAGTACCTGAAACGCTAAAGAAATAAAAAAAAATAAATAAAAATTGAAGCACTTTGAGGAGGAGGAGGAGGGGGGAGAATCTGCTCTATGTAAGGGGCAATGACAGATATGAATTACTCCCGAGCAGAAACGTTCAGACGCAGATTTGGCCGAGTGCAGAACGAATCGACCGGCTTCAAGGACGGACCGTGAAGCCCAACACGCGGCTCGCGGCTCTAATTTGGCCGCTTCAAACGCGGACGCCTCTGGTCGCTTTTCAGCTGCCAATTTAAATGGCTGCCGCCCGAGGTTTTCAAAGCAAAGCTCCCTTTTTAAATATATTTATATATATGAGGATTTACTGGCTAACACTGGCTTTACATGTGAAAAGAAAAGCCCAAATATTTGACCACTTTTCCAAAAATATGCAAGGAATGAGTAATATCTAGTCATTGTTTAATTCATGGAGATTGCCAAGAAATTTTTAATTCATTTGAGCATTTTATCAGGTTGTCGTCACAAAAATGATTTTTATTCAGATTTCATGACGGCCGTCCTCCAGATTTCGACGGAAAATGATGCAATCTTTTACCAGCAAAAGTCTGAAAAGTGCATTTGTGTGCAGAATTTTTCATTCCCGAAATTAAAATCCAGTGCGAACATTTACCTAAACTGCACTTCAAAAAACACAAAATCTTACAAAGTGTTTTAGACCAGCTTCCAGTGCAAATATATTAATGTTACAAGTAACTTTTCAGCATGAGACAAGAGCTTGTTTTTGGTAACTAATTCCTTAATATTGATGAGAAAGCTCTAGTTCCACTGGCAGATTGTTTCATCTATAACATGGAGTTTTTTCATCAATATTAAGGAATTAATTGCCTAAAATCAGCTCAACAAAACACATTAAATTTGGCAGCAACAAAACTTCCTTTTTAACTTTCCCAGTGAATCAGTGAGATTTTTGTTATTTTTGAATTTCAGACTGTTTCATCACCACTGGACTATTTTGATTCAACTCTCAAAATGATATCTGCACCTCAAAGCCACTGAATCTCACCAAGTACCTTTTTTTGGTCCAGTTTCTAGTGTAAATATTTTAGTTTGCTTGGAAAAAGACAAAACTATCTTCGAAGTAGCTTTTTGTTTCGTTATAAGTAAAATGATCTGCCATCAACTTGAAACAAGCTACTGTGTCTTGCCAAAAAGTTTTCTATAAGTCAGTTTTGTCTTGTTTCAAGATACCTGCACCAGGAACCAGACCAAAAATACTTGGTAGGATTTTGAGTTTTTCAGTGAACACAGTGTTCAAAGGCAATTTTGTCGCGTTCCACAGAAAAATAAAAATCCACAAAAAATGAATCGGTCAGACATATGAAAATGTTTGACATTTGTGTGGCCGAGTGATCAACTCGACTGGTTAAACGCAGGATCTGTAAGGCTCACAGGGTCTCTGCCTTCTCGGTCTCGCCCCGCTCTGCGAGTGGAGGTGTTGCAATACGCTGCTGGCTGGGGTTAAATTAATGTAGCTGCACTTTCCCGCTCTCATCCACGCAATCCGATTTCCCCCCCCCTGCTCCCCTCCCTCCATCTTCCTACCATGAGTGAATTCCATCCAAGAGTCAGGTTTAATTTCACCTTGAGGCTCCAGAAACAGCAGCAGGTTTAGAAATTCTCATTTTGTGTGTGTGTGTGTTTGAGGAGAGGTACTCACGACTTCTGCGGTGCAGTGGACGGTTTAGCAGCGGGTTTGTTAGCTGGCACCGAACACCTCTCTGCAACACAACGGGAGGAAGAGGAGGAAGAGGGGAGGACGACAGAGGACGTTCAATCATTCTTGACATCGTTTTGCATAAGTCAAGGTTTGTCTGTGTGCTTGACCGGAAGCCAAACTAACATAACCGGAGTCGTGTAGCATTCTTGCCCCCGGACAATGACTCTGCCACAGTCTGTTTGCGTTGCCAGGTTTTGAAGAGCGCAGCGCTCATTTTGCAATAAAACCTGACTAGATTATTTATTTCTCCTAGTGGCTGTTCAGGCCGTTTCTATTTTTTTCTTTCTGCAAACCGAGTCCTTTGAATTCCTGTTTTGCTCAGCAGTTTCACTTCCTGACAGAAAAGGCGAGGCGGGAACTGTTCGGCTTCACTGACGCCCAGCAAACATCTCAAAGCTTTTAAGTCGGGCTTTAATGTAAAGAAAAAAATACAATTTTTAAAAATCAGCAGCCTCTGAAAAGCACTTGAGGAAGAGTTTTATCAGAATTGCTGCACATATGCAGCTGTGGGCCTGGGGGATATGAAAGAAGTGAATAGTCAAAGTTTCAGGATGTTGCGCATCTCTCTGTGTCGATTTGTCACTGCAGCAGGGAGAATTTTACCTCTCGTTATTCTGCTGCATCACAAAAAAGTTTTTACGCCGTCGGCTCGGCGCCAGCAGCACTGGACTTTGAACATCAAGGTCATAGGTGAAGTCGGCCCCCTCCCACCTCCATCAGTTGAAGAAAATTTGGTTGTCATACGTTTGTGCTGCAAAAATTTTGGTTTGTATCGCTATCATTTTAAAGGTATTAGTAAATGCTTACAGTCAGTGTTTACAAAGAAATGCAAAGTAAACATGGTGTCAATCAATTTGTGCTACTTTTGTGCTGCAAAACAGTTTTGTTTGTGGCGCTAAAATTTCTCAGATAAAAAACTCAAAAACAAATCTACAGGTCACCAAAGGTCAACATGACCTTCCCAATGCCGCATTGACAAAATAAAATACAAATTATTTCAAGAAATTTGATGCTGCATTTGTGCAGCAAATATTTTTGTTTATGCTGTTGTCATTTTTTAAATTAAAAAATAATAACAGCAAAATAAAAATAAAAAAAAATCCAGAGGTTACTAAAACTTGGTCACTAAAGGTCAACCTGTCCTTCCCAATGTTACATTGACAAACTAAAAAATAAAAGATTATTTAAATTAATTTAAATGTTTGTACAGCAACATTTTTTTGTATCACAGTTGATTGACATTGACAATTTGTTTGGTTTTATCAGTGTGGACTGGCTGGTTGACCTTTGGTGACCTCTGGAAACATTTATCAATGTCTTTAAAATGACAGCGGCACAAACAAAAGATTTTTGCTGCACAAATGTTTGACACTAATTTTGTTCAATAAGAAGGAGAATGGGGAAGGGGAGAGGCAACTTCGCTCAATTTACGTAAACAGACATAATAAACATGGTGGATTTTCTCTAAACTCCACAGTTAAAGGAGTCAGAGGCCTGGTTCACTCTGACTCCTTCCCATCAAACTCGCTCCTCCGTTTTAAAAATTTTTTTTTTATGAATCTGTATTGTGCAATGAAATATTTACATATTTAGAATGTGAACCAGAGGTGCTGCCGGGCAACAGACGCAGAATCGAGAAACTCTGTCAGCTTTTACAAAAACATTGTTTCTGTTTTGCGTAATACACAGAAAAACCTGGAGATGAAACGTCGCACTTTATGATACAAGCTCACACGCATGTAACTTTCACATCAATTGCATAGACACTCTATCAAACTTTCAGTGTTTATCAGTCCAAACCGCTTCCTCACATGTGCACCGAATGTCGTTGTTGAAACCACATCATCAGTTGTAGCTTCAGCTGTTGTGAGTGTTTGCAGTCTGATAAACTTACTCTGGGTGTTGTAGGCTGAGGTCACATGCTGGGTCTCCTGGCCAAACGGGAGAGAAAAAAAATCAGAAAGAAATGAGTTTTTTTAATATCTTTATGTCTTTTTCTAATGGAATTTTCCAAACTTACTGTCTAATCAGGCAAACGTACAAAACGCTTTTTCAGTTTCGGATTTCAGGCTGACATCCATTTGTATCAATTAAACAAAACGTGGCCACTGCATTTGCTTGTCGTTGAGCTCGTTGAACATAAATTCAGGTCAATAATTCCTCAGTGCGGATGATGCAGTTCCACTGGCCGATTATTCCACTTGTAACAAGACATTTTTCCCTTTTTACAGATTTTCATCACTACTGAGGAATTATTTCCTTAAAACAAGCTCATATATCTTGCTAAGGTGATTGCACTCAAAAAAAAAAAAAAAAAAAAAACTTGATAAGATTTTGTGTTTTAGTTATTTCAAAAGAAGAAAGGAATTATTTTTTTTCACATTTGCAGTGTGTGCTCTCACCTTGTTTGGGATGGGGAACTTGGTCTGCTCGGCTTTCCCGGGCGTGTGTATGGCTGTGAGCGGAGGAGGCCATGAATGGGTCATCTCCTGAGCACACACACACACACACACACACACACACACACACACACACACACACACACACACACACACACACACACACACACACACACACACACACACACACACACATCTTTCATTATGTCACCATTAACGATTATTGAGAGGCGGCGTTTACTTTTCTTTGTTTTGTTTTGGTTCTTGCGTTCAGACAAATGAAGGAAATAACTCTGGTCCTGCGTCTGAAGAGCGATGATCCTGGCTGAACTTTAGCAGAAACACGGGCAGGAGGATTGCTTGAGCAGCGTCTTTGGAGCAGAGGAGTGGAGTCAGCGTTCAATCAAGGTTGCTCGCTGCTCCCCCCCCCTTCAGAGCGGACCCTCATTATTGCTTATAGACTAAATGCTGGGTTGCACAGGGAGGGTTGTGGTGGTACACACGGGGATCGGTGTACGGAGAGTTGGTTCAGTGCAGAGTTGTTAAATTAGAAAAAAATAAAAGGCTGACTCCGTCTGGCTGCATGGCAACAGCGCAGCACAGGAGCTGCAGCTTTTCAGTTATTTCTACTGAACTGTGCTTCGTAAAAGCACTTTTAAGCTTCGTCAGATTTTGACAAAGCCAAGACACAGACTTTAATGTCTTTAATAAAGACAAACAGCAAGCAGTGGCATTCATTCTCCTCCTGTTCCAAGTTTGTAAAAACCAACACTTTTTACGATTTTTAGTGACTCACTGCATGAACAGGCTTATTCATATGATTTTAATCCCATTAATAGAAACACTAGAATTGTTAATGTTCTTTCTGACATTAGCAATCAACCTCAATACATGTCGCGATGGACAGGTGATCCATATCGATGGATAGAATATTGATTACATAGATTATTCACTGAAATCCGATCCAAAACCGCGCGGCACTCTGGGAGATGTAGGCCGTCTCCTAGCAACAGCGTTGCTAGGTCACTTTGGTTACCTAGCAACAACGTGTGGAGTATAACGTGCGCAGCAGCAGTTTCAGCTTTCGCCATTGTGCCTCATAACTGGTTAAAAATAAAAACACCGCAGTGCGCATAAAAGAACTGTCACTTTGGTAATATTTTAGATATTTACAACAAAAATCAAATCAATAATTATTGATATTGATTGATATGAAACATGCATGGTGATGCATTATATCGTCCAGACCTAATTAAGCAGAATGTTGCCAACATTTAGGCAATATTCCATATTTGTAGTGGAAAAGCATGTATTGATGTTTGTAATGAGAAAAAAAATTAAGGAGTGAAAGTAAATTGGTAAAGAACTTCAAAATGCTCATTTAAATAAACACAGATGTGTTGCTATGTCATAATTAAGGACAATCTGTCAATGAGTTTACATCATCCCCTTGTGTGAACCTGCTGGAGGACGTTGGATGTCAGTCTATCATATACAGAAATATTCACTAATATTCACTCGCACAGTTAAAAGTCTCACATTTAGATGCAGGATTTTGTTGTGGAGGAATTCAGATTTGCACCAGGAGAACATAAAGGCTGTCTGGGACCTGAACCCAGAACCGTCTTCCTATTGGACGGCAGTCCGAGCCACTCCCACAAAACAAGGGTCGTTTTTCTTTTCTTTTTTTTCTTGTTCTTTTCTTTTTTTTTCTTGTTCTTTTCTCGTTGACAGTCAATCAGTTCATTCTCAACTTCCTTACAGCAGGTCACTGGGCCACAAAGACTGATTCCTCATCATACATTTATTCTCCCCTCTGGAGGAGATGAGTCATATTCATCCGATGACTCATGTGGTCATATGTGTGAGGAAAATGTGTGTGTGCGTGTGTGTGTAGCTCAGGGCACGAAACAGCTCAACATTTCTGAAGGTTGATGCAGAATGCATCTGCAGATGCGTTTTCCCGTCTTTACAGTGTTGTTGCGCTACCCTGACGAAATACGCTGGGTTGCTAAGCAACAGCCCCACTTTCTGACATCATTTTGTCCTTCCTTGAAGACTTCCTGTGCTTTGACAGACAGCACCCCTGATTTTGCCTGAACATATTTGTGTCTGTGTGTGTGTGTGTGCGTGTGTGTGTGTGTGTGTGGGAGAGAGAAAGTCATGACTGAGGGAGCGTAACATTAAGGCTGTTATCTGTTTGCCAAATATCACCTACACTGTTTAATCACAGAAGGTGCTTATTTGTTCTCCTGTGTTTGTGCTGCTATTACAGTTTTTCACATTTTGCAAAGTTCTAACTACAAACGCTCTTGTGATTCCATGTGGCCAAAAAAAGCAGCATGTCCTTTTTACAAATTAAAGGGGCGTGTTCTCCGGCCACATAAGGCTACTTTACAGCATAGTCAAGTAACTATGTTACCTTCAGTTGTTAAAAAAAAACAAACAAAAAAACATATATACATATATATATAATTGATGAATAATTAATATTTTACCAGACCAGGTAAATATATATATATTTACATCAAATATAATTTTCAAGGCGTAATTCAACTCCTTGAAAATTGGGTCGCTGTCTCTTTAAGAAGCTCCTGCTCCTTTTGAAACTCCTCGTTCAGGAAGTCATGACATTGTGGCTCCTCTATTAACCCTTTAACAAGGTTTTCACCAGCGTTTCACTGAGAAGTAGCTCCACTGACGAAATGTGGAGTTTCCCCAGGTGTTTGCTAATTGTTGCTGGCTAGTCTGAAGGAGTTGTGTGGAGGAGAAGCTCGGATGCTTGGGAACAGGTAGATTGGTACACTGGTTTTCACATGTGGGATTTCAATCGAAAATATTCAAGCTTGCAGTTCCAACGTGATACGTGTTAACGTTACTTTGAAATATGCATTTGCGTTGTAAACACCTGATGTTGCTTCTTATGTTGAACCAGAACATGAAACAAAATAGCAATATGAAGACATGTGAATAATAGAAATGGTACATTCTTGTATATTTTTTAAAATTTATCAACATTTTGTATGAACTGTAATTCATTATTTTATTGATGTGCATGCTAAATATGTCATCTGACATATATTTGAAAGATTTCTGTCGTCTGATGTGTGTTTTCCTTTAATGGTGGATTCCAGGAAGCACAAACAATAAACACTTATACACAATATGGACAAAAGTTGCACATATGGAGTCGCTGCTACTAATCTGACACCGGCTGAACAAGTTGCCTTGATGTCTGAGCATGCACTGTGATTAGTTTTCGGCAAAAGTCAACGAAAATCTCACAAGGACGCAGGAAACGGTCATTAAAAATCACTTTCAAAAGGACTCAGACAGGCTGGCTCACTGAAGCGCGGGCTTTATGAGGTTTTATACTGATCTAATTTATCATATTAATGACAGTTACATCCAAAGTGCGTGTCTACAGTGTCAAGGTATTAAAAGAGGCAACACTTCGGCACTTCTTTTAGTTTCACGGCGGCGGTAAGATCGGGGTGTTTGAATGTTAAAGTTTCATTCAACCCTATTGTGTGTAGAAAACTGACGGTAAGAGAAAAAGGAAACCATTACTTGTCTATGTGGGAAAGAAATGTTCATAGCAAAACACTCTGGTCTGGTAAAATATTAATTATTCATTGATTATTTTAAGCAACAAGCGCATCTGCATTCGCAGTAGAAGTCAAGTTAACACCACCTGTTTAAAGATAAATCACAATTATTATTATTATCACTAAATCATCACCCAGGCAATTTCTGTCAACCTAAAAAAAACTGTTTCGATGCCATTTTTTGTCCTAGACAACATGAATTAAGATTTTTTCACATTTGTATTTTTTTGTGGTGTTCTTTGAAAAACAAAATACAGAACATGATAACTGCTGCTGATGTATGAAAGACACAGCAACACATGCAAACTGGCAGCTTAGGACTGCTGTGATTTTGATTTTGAATATCATAACCAATGTCTATATCGGCTGTATTTGCTTACTTTTCCATTTTCACGATGCCCATTAAAATCTGTATTAGACGTTGGCACCAAAGTTCAGTAAAAGTTGATGCAAATGTCCAAATGTACCGCAGCATGAACCCAGGAAGCGTCCAGCTTGGTGACTGAGCAAATGTTGCGTTCAAGCGCTCCTTTTCTGACATTCGAAACATCCGTGTCGTGCTGTCGATTGCGTTTGGACGTATGGTGCAGCTCCGTTCTGCTGGGATCTCAAGGTCACGACCTCTAGTGTGAAGTAGCCTTCAGCCAAAGGTCAAGTCCTGCCTCAAGTAGAGGAGTTGGGATTACTGTCTCGTTCAAGATTGATGGTGAAAATGAAGCGGAGGCGAGAGACAGACGGATGGATTTAGAGATGGGCTGTTAAAGTTCTCATTTTCCCCGACCCGTTTGGACTCTGACTCTCACCTGTGGACTGTGGCTGAAAGAACCGGACCCTGACTGCAAGCAGCTGAAATTAGCTCGGTACGTACAGCGGCTGGACGCAGCCGGACGCAGCCGGACGCAGCCGGAGGCGTCATGCTGGAATAATTGAGTCGAAGCGGTTTGGACAGCTGATCAAATGCCTCCTGGATAACTCCATTTAAAGCTTTTCTGGGCATGTCCCTCTGGAAACAAACCCTGCAGAAGAACACCCAGAAGTAGTTGGAGAGAGTATTTATGGTTCTGACTGTTGGAAGGCCTCCGGATGTCCAATAATGAGGTGGAGAGGGATTTCTCTTTTGGACCTGTTACTCTGTGACCAGATCCGACATAAGAAAGGAAGACGACAGACGGATGGTTGACATTTCCTTGTCTTGATGTCTAACAAACCAAAACACTGGACTCCTCTCTCTGGTCATTTGGCTTTTGCCTCTTTTGCAGTGACTTTTAAGTTATGATGTGATTTTCCTTATGCAGCTTGAAGTCCTGTCAGCAATTTATTTAGTTGTTTTGAGATCAATCTTTCAGAAAAAAAAATAAATGTACTAATTAGTGCTTTGTTTCTTGCTGCAGCAGAAAAGTCATCAAAACATCAATATGGATGTTTTGCTTTTGCCTTATAACTTCCTGCTGTTGCGATGTAGCATTTGTTGTTGCATTTTGACTTTTTGTCGTTGCCTTGTGTCCTTTGTCGTTGTGTTGTTCCTGTCATGTTTTGCTGTGACTTGCTGCTGTTGCTTTACAACTTTTTATTGTCATGTTGTATCATTTGTTTTTGTGTTGTTTGTGTCGATAAACAACAATAACTTCTGTTGCTGCATTGTGACTGTTGCTGTTGACTTGTGTTTTTCTGTTGTTGGGTTGCAGTTTTCTATTGTTGCGTTGTGGTTTCCTATTGTTACGTTGTGGCATTTGCATTCCGTTGACCCTTCTGGGGTCAGTTCAGTGTCTCAGCAGAGCAAACAGTCGATGCTCTGAGAACAGTCTGTCCAGCCACAGCGCACTCAGCCCGATATGAAGAGTCGTGACAGCGGGACACACAGCCACCACGACCACTTGGGCTTTTGTTTAGGCAGAACAGAACCGTCACTTTAACAGACTGACAAAGCCATCGGTTCTGGCAGTCGGTAAAGCAAACGCTGCACCATGTTTTGCTTTACACGTCTTTACCGCCTCGCTGTTAGACTTCAATACCCTGCATATGAGTCGGCCATGTCTCCCTGACGGGCTGTGGGCCGATTCAGCCCGCCTCACATTCTGAGCGCCCTGATCTTTCCACTTGACATGACCAAACATCACAGGCCGGATTCAATGGCGCACCGATATTATTGACAGAGGCCTTTCATGCAGCTCGCAGCAGATAGTCTGTCACAAAGCCTGTTGACCGGCATATTGATTTGTGAAAGGGAGAGGGCTGCAAACGACAGAGGGCAGGGAGGAAGGAGCGGAGGGAGACAGACGGGAAGAGGAGGAAAAGCGATTCCACAGCCGAGGCGGAGGTTTAGGAGCTAACTGAGCCGTCCGAAAGCGTCCTGGTCCACGGGGCAGCTGACAGAGGAGGGGAAGACTGTCGGGGAAAACATCTGTTTTGACATCACTCAGAGCAGAACAGGAAGACAGGAGGGAAAAAACGAGTTGTTTGGAGAAATTCTGATAAACACGGATGGAGGGAAAAATTATGGAAAAGATTTCTGCCTGACATCATCTAACAAGAAACGAAAAAAATCTATAATCATGGACCTGAGCCAAAGTATCTCTTTTCCCCATCCTTTGTGTTGCAGCCCTTCTGTTTCTCATTCTCTCGCTTCATTCTGTCATTTCTTCCTACGATCAAATTCTCTGGAGAAGAACCAAAGTCTTTCAGAGCAAACATAAAACAGCTGATAATCAGCACAATTGCCCTGCGTGTATAAGAGAGAGACTGTGTGTGTGTGTGTGTGTGTGTCCAGGGAACATACCCGCAAAATCTCTTCAACGCAGCTGGAGTCGTTTGGCAGATTGACCTGGAGGAAAACAAAGACAGAAAGCCTGACTTTAGCAAATGGTAATGGCAGTTTTGCATTGAAAACAGAACAATCAAAAGGAGAAACAACACGGGGAGAAGACAGGTCCGCTCACAACGCATCAAGCTCACGTTTGAACAAACGTCTGAACGTTCCAGGTTTGGCGAGTCTCGTTTAAAACCAATCGCATGATAAAGAAGAACGAGCTCGATAATTTCTGTTTCTCCAAAAATGACGTGTGTGTGTCAAGCTGACTTATTTTCATAATTCCAATTTCTGTGGTCAATAGAAAAGGAGCTTCACATCTATTTCTGAGTTGCTGTGTTTGCATTATAACCAGTCTGCATTCCGCACATCTTCGCAGTCGTGACGTTTACATTGAAGAAGAAACGCAATCGAAATCACGCGTGAAAACATTTATTTACGTGGTAAGTCGTTAAAAAACATCCTGCATCATCATCCTCCGACCCACTTCCTGTCGTCTTCTTCATCGTTTCCGCAGTTACTGACATCCTGTTTTCGATCAGGCAATGCAGACACTTTTTTTGATGCAAAACAAGTGTCTGCATTGCTGTTTTGCTAAATAAACCAATTTCAATAGCAACGCTTTCTCGAAAAACATGATTTTTTGTTTTAAATTGTCATCTTTCCATTGAGTAAATTTTTTTTTCCCTAATTCCAATTAGCGCCGTTATGTGGTCAATGGTTCACCGTGCAATAGTCAAGCATTGACCATTGGTAGAGCCGTGACAGGCTCTACCAATCGAAAGGTAGAGCACTGATAATTCAGCTGTCGTTGCAGTTTCCAGACATATTCTGCAGTTCTGCAATTTTCCCAAGATGTCGCAAACGAAGCGGTAAACTCCTGCGTTTCCTACAGAGATTTTCCACCCAGCTCTCCCATAAAGCCACTGAAAGGTGGCCAGAGCGTGAACAAAGCAACATGTGGACACAGCTGCCAATCTTTTGAGCCAGTGAGGTCCGTTCATGCGTGCAGAGAACCACCTGAAAACCATTGAAATGTCAAGCTGAAAACAAGAAGTTCCCCCTTCCTGGGGGGTTCTGTAGTGGGACTACTAAAATTATGCAACTGCTTTCAATGTTACGCAGCCGCTGCTGTGTTTATTGACGTTTTCTTGCTGTGTTTTTATCGGAACCAGTTTATAAAAACACACATGCCATAAATAGTCATCAAATTCCAAGAGAAGTTTTTTTTTTTTTTTTTATTACGCTTGTTTATCACTTCAACATGTGGAAAAATCCAAAACCTCAGCCAACGGCAACTTCCAGTCGCTCCACCCTGAGCGGTTCAGCCGAGGTCGAGGCGTTCATAAATTCCTGCGTGTTCATGTAGAGCCGTCCGGTCCGCTCGCTGTGCTGCCGTGAATTAACGACCACGGCTCAGACACAGGGACGGATCACGCTCACTGCAATTAGGTCTTTAAACGCTAAACACCAGGGTTAGCGAAGCAGTAAGGATTTGTATAAAAAGAAAAAGGAGCATTTCAGTTATTCAGATTTAGGCTTGGACCGCGGTGTCATGCAAACCGCAGGACACTTTTAGCTTGACGAGCGGAGGGCCGGCCTGGCGTTCGATTGGGAGACAGAGAGGGAGTCTGTGTCAGCGGTCTGATTAACCAGTTCACCGGCTGCGGGCTGTTAATCTGTGTAAACATGGCGGCTGTGTCCAAAGAGCCCGTCTGATCATAAAAACACGACGGCATCCTCAGGCGTAAATCAAGACAAATGACGTCTGAGAACCGTACATGTTAACAACAGACTGCTGAAAGGTTAAGCTGAGGGAGCGTCTGACAGCAGCATTAATATTCCTCACCAGTGACCTACTACGTGTCCTTGGTCGGGTTACACAAAACATGTTCATTACATTTTTTTTTTTTGACATCATCATCCTTCAGGTCTGTCTACTTTGAGCTGCATTCATAATGAGTTGTTTTAGGGCATCTTGTCACTTTAAATCTGAATTATCTGCGAGAATGGCTACAAACATACAGCTGTGCATCTTTGAAAAGCAGAAGCAGAGCCTCCTGCACAACCAGCAAGAATGCAGCAAGTCAGAAACAAGACGCTTGTCTTTTCCAGCAGCCATTGTACGGCGGTAAAACCAGCAGGAGCTCTGCTTGTGTTGCTAGGTAACGACGCAGTGCCAGGCAGGTGTAACTTAGCAACAGAGAGGTTTTCAGGACACCAAAAAATATTCACTTATTACCAAAAAAACAAAACAAAACAAAATATCTTGAGGTGTTTTTAGAGGTACTAGATCAGATCAAATGTACAAAATGTGAATTTGGCAAAATAGGTTCCCTTTAAACTTTCACAGTCTATAGCATTACGACCGCAAACTGTGAAGCATTTTATTGAAATTGAGTATAATAGACCAACATAAAATGGTGCATTATTGTGAAGTGGAGGGAAAAATTATGAAAACAATCAAAAGAAACAAACAAAATCTGGGCAGCCCTGGCAGACGTCAGACTAGGATAAGTGTTCACTTTTCAGCACTGTAAACCTAAGCAGCGCTAGAAATGAATGGTCACATTTATTACTTTTAAAATGGTATAGTCAAAGTCCAGACCTAAATTCAGTTGAGAACCTGTGTCAACGCTTGACAAATGCTCTCCAATCAGACTGAGCTCCAGTCTGTTGACTGTGAGAAAAAGCAGCAAAGATCAAATGATGTTGAAACTTCTGCAAGGCCCTGTTCGTATTTATGGACTCTGTTAAAAATTAACATCTGTCCAGCTGGAAGTCTTTGCTGTCTTAGTTCAAACTCAGTTCATTTCTGCCGCTCCAGCCCAGCACCGAGCTGCTTTTCTATTTAGTCCAAAACAAGCCATCACTGCAGCCCAGGGACCCGTGATCTTGTGTGATAACACTTTGGAAAATACATAAGAATCATCTCAATTGCACAAAGATTAATTCCCCCCCCGAATTTTTTTTTCTTCCAAAAAGTAACTGCAAACACATGCAGCCTCTCCGGGTCAGATCTTTGTCTTGGATCTTGGTCCAACGACACGAAGGAAAGACGGCGGGGTGGCGAGCGGGAAGTCAGAACCTGTCTCAGTCTACGGCAACATAACCTCCGTCACGCGCCATTACCAACAGTGCCGGCGAGAACGGAGGGGCAATTTAGCCGCCGTGATGATGGGGGTGACATCATGTTCGGCCTTAAATCACAGCCTGCTGAAACAACAAAAGGCCCTGCAAGCCGGGGTTCTGCTCCTGCTTCAGCTCACAGAACGAAAACCCATCTGTATGTTTTCTGGACAGCAGCCGTTATTCTGCTTCAGCAGATTAATCACACAGACCTGAAGTCACAGGCACCGGATGGAGACGTTTTCTTCCAGCAGAAAACCTCATACAGCAATCAGCAATCCATTTTAACCAATAAACCTTGCTAACAATTAGCGATTGTTAGCACTACTTACTAGTTACTAGTCTGCTGTTGCGCTGTTTTTGATTTTAGTGATGCCTGATGCAGCTGATCGTAAAACACTGGTTTGTAGACTAGAAAAGAGTCCAGGGGTTCCTCAGGGGCGTGTCCTCGGGCCACTTCTTCTTCAACATCTACACTTTTCCCCAAGATCACGGGGTGTATGCTTACGACTCAAGACCATAATTCTGAGTCATCGCAGAACGACAATCCCTTACAGCAGTGAGTAAGCGTGTTCTTCATTTTGGATAAAGCATAAAAACGCAGGAAAAATGAGTCAGTCTGTGAATCCAGAAAGGCTCAACCAGACTGGAGGACGCCAAGAAACGGCAAAGCATCGCAGAAATGTGGCTACAAACGTATAAATGTTGACACACTTACAGCGTGTTACTAAAGAAGCCTGCGATTTTTACAAACAGGACTTGTGTTTAATAAAGCCAAGAAAAAAACCAGCGAATCTTTTAATATTTAGTAAGTTCTTGGTATACGTCTGTAAGACAGACGGACACGTTATATAAAAAATATGAACGAATTCAGCTGCTGTGTGCATTTTAGTGAGAAAAATCATACTCTGGTGAAACTTGTGTATATGTGTTTCAGGAGCCAGAGTTACCTAAAAAGTCTACAAACAAGAAATAAACTGTTTTAAACCGTCACTATTACTGTGACCAAAGGAAAAGGAAGTAGCACAATCCTCGATTGACCTTTTCCCAATCACTCGCCGCGCCTCATGTCAGTGCAACCAGATTGCACTGACAACACCACTCTTCAGTGCTGAGGTTGTTGCTGGGCGAAGACGACTTAAATGTAGCTATTTTCAGTTTAACGACAGATTGCAAAGAAATCAGAGGAAGTCGAGACGTGTCAAAGACAGACTGCAGTTTATCTAGGTCACAGGGGAGAGTACTTGCATAACAGAAATATTTGTGCACCGTTTTATCTTTTTGATCTTTGACGTAGACATTGTTCACTTTGGAAATGTTGTCAACCTTTGTATTTTGCGATTCTTGTTGCGCTAACCTCACTATCTGGTCATAAGAGACACCAAAGAACAAAGACAGTCAACTCCTCCACCTTTTGGCCTTTGATTTGAAATACAAATAAAACTTTTCGCACAAAACCAAACAGAGTGTGAAAACAAAATATCTTGAATTTTCTAATATCTTCTTCAGTTACAGTTCTGGACTTGACACAGGAAAATGGAAACACAAGTGAGTTCAGGCTTGTTTTTGTTCTTTATCTGTCCTTCTGTTCATCGTTCTCCTCAACCATTCGTCCTCATCCCTGCTGCGCTCCGGTTCACCGGAGTGCAACGCTGACGCTTTGTGTCGCCGATCCTGAGTGTATCATTGTCAGGAACCGGGCCGCTCGGCGCGCCGACAGAACCCGGAGCTCAGTGAATGCCAAGCAGCTTTTAATGGACCTAATGGACAGGTGACTATCACATGGTGAACGGGCGGGTGACGCGCAGGTTCCCTTAATTGAGGTTACTGCGAGACCGCAGTTAATTTCAAGGGCCGTAAGATAGGGAGAGCACAAAAGAGAAGCG